TGAGTTTCTGAAAGACCCAAATTCCCTAAGAAAGCAAATGTGGGCAGAATCCCAGGAGGCTGGCTCAAGGGAGGAAGGCCCACCCAGGAGGGTGCCACCCTGGCAAGAGGGGCCAGGAACACTCACCGATGGCTCTCTCAATTTTGCCCAGAACCTGGTTATTTGGAATGGCCCGTCCACTCTCATAATCTGCGATGACTTGTGGCTTCTCGTTGATTTTCTAAGGAGAAGGTGTCCACTAAACACGCTGGCCCAGGGACACACTACCTCCTGGGAGGCTGGGGTCCCACCCGGCACAGTTGCGTCTCATGCCACAGCTGCTCTGCCCTGGCTGTCTACAGGCCTCGGGCTACCAGGGGAGAGACAAATGAAACACCCCCAGCCCACAGGCAGGAGCCCACCCATCCAATACTCTCCTGCAACCCCTTCCCAGACCCAGCACTACTGCAGCCTCACCGTGGCCAGGTCCTTCTGCGTCAGCCCCTTGCTCTGCCGGCCCCGCTGGATCACTTTGCCCACCTCCAGGGTCACCCGGTCGTGGTGCAGCTCCTCCGTCTCCCGGTCCAGCTTGGCTGTGTTCTTGGTGATCGAGTGCTGCTTGTTCTGCCCGGCAGCCCCTGGAGTTGGGGGCACACAGACAGAGGGGTCTGCAGTTAATGTGCAAGAACATGGTTTCAGAGCAGCCTCCTGGCCGATAGCTCCACACTCACCACGACCCAGGGAGCCGGGCTGCCCCACAGCCACAAAGCAGAGTCCCACCCAGAGCTGTGCCAAGGAGCCCTCGCCACCTCCACTCCTGAAGTCCCCAACCACACTCAAGCCAGACACCTCGGGGCACATCCTGGTTTACCAGTGGAAACAGGCCTTTCCTGTGTGTACCTACATTTCTTGGAGGTCTCCACATCTTCACCTCGTCTCTGGGCTGCTAAGATGGCCTAGAAGATTAGAGAGTGGATTGTGGTGGGTATCAGCTTGGCAGCATAGGCAGATGGCGCAACCGCTGCCAGCAGGTCTGCACGCTGCCGAGGGCGCCGAAGCTGCGCAGGGCTGGGCTCTGGGGCTCTGGCGCCTGACAGCCCATCCCTCTCTGCCCACCTTTTCAGTGACCCCGCGGCCAACCCCACAATGTTACATGGAAACTTCTAGAAATAAGAAATATATACAGTTCAAATTGCTTGTCTTCAGCGACACACTCCCTTGCCATGTCACATTCCCCACCCTGTCCTGCTTAGGATGCGAGTCCTGCTCATGCTGTAGATGTCACCTCCTGCTCTTCACCTGGCCACCATCTTGGTGCCCAGGCTGTCACAGCAACAGTACTGTTATCAGGCCCTTGTGTTCAAGGAAGCCTGATGCCGCTGCCCAATCCCGCAGCACACTCCTCCCCAGCTCCCTGCACCTTACCACACGGGCATGCCGCGACCATCCCAGCGAGGATGACAGTACCAACAGAGAGGCCGCGTTCACATTTATCATGGTATAATGTCAGAACCATCCCATTCTATGACTGCCGTTCTTCTCTTGCAAGGACAGAGGACAATTGCCAAATTAAACGCTGCCCTAGAAGTACTCTACTGAAGAACAGTACTCAGGGCCCGGTGTGACCCACAGCTTCCGGTACCCCAGAAGATCCTGAGGGCCCTATTCACAAAACCTCCAGCACAGGCCAGGCAACTCCCCATTCACTCCTACCCGGAGGCGGCACTGCTGCTCCTCTGCTGAAACAGACTGAGGGACTCCAGCTAGAGCTTCCTGTGTGACACTGGCTCACGCTGCTACCAAAGCCTCCAGCAAAAGCAAGACGAAAGCTAGCACCAGCCCGGCCTCCGCCTGAGTCTGGCTCCCAGCGAGACAGCGATGACGCCCCCGCGGAAGCCTGCGGTCTCCCTGGAGACACGGCAAGAGCAGGAATGCTCGGGCTCCACAGTCACCAGGGAGTAACAGGCTGCATTCCTCGGTGCGTCTAACACTTCAGAGCCACGACTCGGGGCACGCTACCTTCCAGGCAGTTCACGTGAGTCCGGCCTGGTGGCTACGAAGCTACCCGGGAAAACAGAATGAATTTGGGCCCAGCTGCTAGGCCAGGGCTAGGCATGGTCGCGGTCGCCAGGCCCGGCCAGCCTGTGCCGGGTCCTGCCCAGCCCCGGGGACTCCCAGCCCGGCCGCCTCCTGAGCCGGGAGCTCCGACAGCACCCTCCAAAGCCCAGGAAGCACCCAGGGGGCTCCGCGGGCAGCAGCCCCAGCAGACCCCAGCGCAGCAGGCAGCGTGGCTGGGGGAAGCCTCCGCGAGCGCGGGCCTCGCCCCGGCCGCGCTGCAGCCCGATCCTCTTACCCCATGCCCGTCCCACGCGGCCCCGGGTGCGCCCAGGGCGCTGGCCTCCAACCCGCGACGAGCCTCCGCCCTCGCCCGGGCCGCCCTCCGCCCGAGCCCCGCC